TTCAATCTTACCTAATACCTAAGTACTTACTTTTGAGGATTAAAAAAAAAAAAAAAAATTCCTCACTTGAAAAGACATACAAAAAAACCATGAATAAAATATTAGGAAATGCAAGCTAGAGTTTACAAACTTTTCAGCCAGTAGGTCCACATCCAAACTGTCAGTTTCATCTTCATCCACAGTTCGCTCATAAGGCGTCTTTGGCTCGTCTATTTTCATGTGCCCATAATCTTTGTCTGCAGGATGAAGGGTGGCTATGATGTTCATTTCGTCCCATTTTGCATTTTTTGCCTTCTCAGCAAGAGCTTTCCTGAAAAAAGATATTTTGTTTCAGTTTAAAAATAGGTTGAATGAAAATCGTGGAAGTTACAGTGACAAAATCATCCATTTCTTTCACTTTGTTTCTGTATGAGACTGGTCCAATCTGGCTACCTGGAAAATCCTTTGCTTTGACTTGGCAAGTTTGACCACACGATGATATTCATGAAATTTGACAAAGCTACAGGAGAGAGGACTCATGGTCATGGAGCTGAGGACCTCACTATTTTTTTGCCTGCATCTGAGTATCTGAGTCATGACTGATTCTTACTGATTCTACGCCTGACTTACTTAACCAAATCCTAGAACTCAAAAAATTTCAAATCATGAAATTTTGAATTAGTGGGTGTTAGGCGTGAGAGTCATGCAGACCTAGAGCTCATGCATCATATATAGAGACAAACGTCAATCTCCGATTAGCTCTGAATTTGCACCACTCAACAGGTTAATACATGCAGTCAGGTGGCACCACTAGTGAATGGTGACTTAAACAATACTTTGACGTTTGTCTCAATATACGATGTGCGAGCTTAAGGCTTTCGTCTAAAATCTGCCAAGATTTCAGGACTTGAATAATGTGATATATCACACACTGATTCGACCATGTCGTGGACCTGGGACAGATCACTTAAATCTTGGATACCACAAGGTGACCATGAACAGTGAGTTGAAATTAATATAGATGATTGACAGTACTGCCTCTGGATGTTTCGTAACTTGGAGTGTGGAGGGCTTGGATTACATTTCACATTTTGCAGGAGGACACCAGATTTTTGAACCATGTTTGATCTGATCTGCCAATTATTAGAGTAAGTAGTACTTATTAACTTGGGAAGCAATTTCCGGGATTGTGACCTGGCTTGATTAGCACTTGGAAAGGTCAAATGATTCGACTTAGCTGATCCAATCAGTATTTAGAATAAATAGCTTTCAAGTAAGGTAATGTGAAACCGTTGAGCTTGAACGTCTGTGAGCTAGGTTAGGTACATCTCCTAGAGCAACGAAGCAAATCCACGTTAGAAATTAGAATGAATCCGAATTAGAAAAGAACACGGAGCAACATCAGGTAAATGAAGAAACAGCTCAGTGTTGATCATTTATTTTATAAAGTGACAGAATAAGTGGGAACTTACTTTCCTTGCCTTCGATCCGCAGTTTCAAAACTAGAGGAGGATTTCAAAATACTCTTCGACGGTTTCTTCTTTAAATTTTCGGCTGGATCATGGTCTTTACAAGACATGATAAACAGAAAAAATTAATAAATAAATGGAATCACAGAAAATAAAAAGGAACTTGAAATTTAAAAATAATTTACACCTCTGAAGACATCACTATTTTGTTATTGTTTATGCTGTGACGTCCCGAACTGACGTCAGAGGTCGCGTGAAAGGCGCGAATCTTGAGGAAATTCAAAATGGAAATTGAAGCTTTAAGATATAAAGAACTTAAGATAATTAATACAGTTTACTTAGAAACGGTGTTAAATAAGGCAAATTTAAGGTAACTTGGAAAGAAAAGGGTATTTTGTTGGAAAGGGTTGTTGGTTGGTAGGTCTAGAATTTGAATGGACGTATCGATATAATTGAACAACCGAGTTGAGCGACAATTGATAGTCTCGAAAAATCCATGTAAAATACACACTAAGTCTGCTTTTATTTCTCTGAATTTTGCCGATTTTTGGGTTTAAAATGATTCTTTAGGCTCAATCGCAGGGGCTATCATCCTTTATTTTCCTAAAAATTCAAAATCTGCCGAGATTTTGACCTAATTGATGCGATATATCGCATGCTAGTTCGACCACGTCATTGAAGCTGGACAAATGGGTTCCACCTTTCACAGTTTATGAATGACATAGGGTCTTGTTCAAAGTGCCATCTTCATCTGTTGCTCGCATGTCCAGGAATGATATCCTGTGAGAAGATGAAGGTTTTAATTAAGGTATTTCATCTGAAATTTTTGATGTACCATCATGATTTCTGCATTAAGTTGCAATGACTTTTTTTTTACTTTTTTATTTTTTTCGTCTTTTAATTTTCATCACTTCACAGCTAATTTTTTAAGAATGGCTTTCAGAGGGATAGCTCTTCAACCCCCTCCCCCTCCCACCAAGATTTCAAGAATCCAAAACTCTGCTAAGTATAATGCTGTCAGAAGTAATAAGGGATGGGGGAGGGGGGATTTGTTCATTGGCCTCATATGGGGCAAAATGAAGGTACAATCGCAGGGGACATACGTTAGTTTGATAAACATATTATAGTATGGATTGGGGATTGCGCAGTCTTAAATACTCAGTTTGCCTCGGTTAAGTTTATTTTTGACTGCTTCTTATTTCCTATTTTTTGTTTCAGAATTCATTTTGCTACAATACTGTGCTTCTGACTTCTACGGAGGCGGCGTCTCAATTCAGGACGGTATGAAACGGGAGAAACGCAAGGGACTGTCCATAAATTACATTACACATTTTTTTCAATTTTTCAACTCCTCCTTCCCTCACTGTGTCCAACTACTGCACTCGTCTACTGCTAGACCCCTCCTAAAAATTATGTCATCCTTAGCACCTCCCCCCCCCCC